CCATAACCTATGTAAGTCTCAGTTTTATTTTCTGTAAAACAAAATAAAAATATTTACCTTATAGAGACTCTGTAATAATTAAGTGATAAATTCATGTTAAGAGTTTAGCTATCAAGAAATGTTGCATGTTAAATTATGGAGGACCTAATATTCTACTAGTATCATTGGTATAAAAATAGTAAGAAACATGGTCTTTCCCACAAGGAGCTTTCAATCTTATTATGAAGACAAGACACATTTAACGGACAAGTTCATTGAGCACTCATTACACAGGGCAAATGATTAGATCATGGGGTATTATGAAAGAATCACCACAAACAAGAAAAATCTCAAATAAACAATCTTAAACTACACCTAAAAGAACTAGAAAAAGAAGAACAAACAAAACCCAAAGTCAGCAGAAGGAGGGAAATAATAAAAATTAGAGCAAAAATAAATGAAATAAAGCTAAAAGAATAATTAAAAGGATCAAATCGAACACAGCAATAAATTAAAAGTATCATACATCATGATCAAGTGAGATTTATTCCAGGAATGTAGGAAAGGTTCAACATCTGCAAGTCAATCTATGTGATACACCACATTAACAAAATGAGGAATAAAAATCACATGATCATCTCAATAGATGCAGAGAAAGCATTCAATAAAATCCAACATCCATTTATGATAAAAACTATCAACAAAATGGGAATAGAAGGAAAGTACCTCAACATAATAAAGGGCATATATGACAAACCCACAGCCAACATCATACTTAACAGTGAAAAACTGAAAGTCATTTCTCTGAGAACAGGAACAAAACAAGGGGACCCACTCCCACCACCCTTACACAACACAGAACTGGAAGCCTTAGCCAGAGAAATTAGGCAAGAAAAAGAAATAAAATGTATCCAAATAGGAAAGGAAGAAGTAAAACTCTCACTGTTTGTGGATGACATGATTCTATATGCAGAAAACCCTAAAGAATTCACCAGAAAACTATCAGAAATAATTGACAACTACAAAAGCTGCAATGTACAAAATCAACATACAAAAATAAGTTGTATTTCTATACACTAATAACAAACTAGCAGAAAGAAAAGTCAAGAATACAATCCTTGTACACTGAAAACTATAAAACATTGTTGAAAGAAATTGAAGAAGACACGAAGAAATGGAAAGATATTTTGTGCTCTTGGACTGGAAGAATAAACATAGTTAAAATGTCCATATTACCTAAAGCAATCTACAGATTCAACACAATCCCTATCAAAGCTCAGAAAACATTTTTCACAGAAACAGAACAAAGAATCCTAAAACTTATATGGAACATAAAATACCCCAAATAGCCAACATAACCCTGCAAAAAAAGAACAAAGCTGGAGATATCACAATCTCTGACTTCAAAATACACCACAAAGCTATAATAATCAAAACAGCATGGTATTGGCACAGAAACAGACACAGAGATCAATGGAACAGAATTGAAAGCCCAGAAATAAAACCACACACCTATGGACAGCTAATCTTTGACAAAGGAGCCAAGAACATACAATGGAGAAAGGAAAGTATCTTCTATAAATGGAGTTTGGGAAATTGGACAGCCACATGCAAAAGAATGAAAGTAGGCCATTATCTTACACCATAGACAAAAATTAGCTTAAAATGGATTAAAGACTTGAATATAAAACCTGAAACCATAAAACTCCTAGAGGAAAATATAGGCAGTACACTCTTTGACACCAGTCTGAGCTGTATCTTTTCAAAAACTATGGCTATTCAGGCAAGGGAAACAAAAGAAAAAATAAATAAATTGGACTACATCAGACTAAAAAGCTTCTGAAAGGCAAAGGAAACCATGAACAAAACGAAAAAATAACCTACCAACTGGGAGAAGATATTTGAAAAACATATATCTGACAGGGGTTAATTTCCAAATTATATAAAGAACTCATACACTCAACAACAAAAAACCAAACAACCTGATCAAAAAATGAGCAGAAGATAGGAACAGACATTTTTCCAAAGAAGATATACAGATAGCCAACAGGCATATGAAAATATATTCAATCATTAGGGAAGTGCAAATCAAAACTATAATGTGATATCACCTCACGCCCCTCAGAATGGCTATAATTAATAAGACAAGAAATAACAAATGTAGGAGAGGATGTGGAGAAAAGAGAACCTTCATACACCACTGGGGGGGATGCAAACTAGGCAGCTACTTTGGAAAACAGTATGGCGATTTCTCAAAAAATAAAACACAGAAATACCATATGATCTAGCTATCCCACTACTGGGTATTTATCCAAAGAACATGAAATCAACACTTCAAAGAGATTTATGCACCCCTATGTTCTTCACAGCTTTATTCACAATAGCCAAGACTTGGAAGCAACCCAAGTGCTCACCAGTGGATGAATGGATAAAGAGATGCGGTACATATATACAATGGGATACTACTCAGCCATAAAAAAGACAAAATCGTGCCATTTGTGACAACATGGATGGACTTTGAGGGTATTATGTGAAGCAAAATAAGCCAGACAGAGAAAAACAAACACTGCATGATTTCACTCATACGTGGAAGATGAACAAACACGTGGATAAGGATAACAGACTAGTGGTTAGCAGAGGGGTGGGGAGTGGGGAGGAGGGTGAAAGTGGTAAATGGGCATGTACGTATGGTGACACATAAAACTAGACTACTGGTGGTGAGCACAATGCAGACTATACAGAAACTGATGTATGATACTGTGCACATGAAATTACACAATGTTATAAGACAATATGACCTCAATAAAATAATTAAATTAAAAAGGAGTCACCACTAATCTTCTACCATATTTAGACAAATGGTTCCTAAAACTTTCACATAGATACTAATAGTTAGGAATTTAATAAATTTTCACATGACTGCCGATAATTAGAAATTTAATAATGTTGGATTAGAAATGAAGAGACCGATTTAAAGATATGTAACTAAAGAAAAATCACCCAGAAAGGTTATTCTAAATTTGAGTAAATTAAGTATCCAGTAAGTTTATCATTAAAGTAATAATGTTAGGAACAATATAGGAATTATGTTATGAGTTTAGTTTATTTTTTTAAGTTATCAGTAAAACTTTAGTAAATTTAATTGCATTGATTTCTTCATTACAGAGGAATCTGCTTCCAAATAGTCATCTCCACTAATGATAATAAGAGCAAAGATTGATTGAGCACTTACTATGTGCCAGGCACTGCTCTAAGCATTTTTATGCTTATTATTCATTATTAATTCAATGATTCTGATAACAAGTTAAGTCCTATTACCATCCCCATTTCATAGGTGAGAAAACTGAGAGTTAATAAAATAACTTTCCTAAGGCCACATGGGCAGTAAGTGCCACAGCTGAGATAGGAACCCAGGCATTTGGGCTCCAGAACACTTATCCTTAAGCACTACACTACGTTGCCTCCCTTTAAGCAACTACATGTCTGACTTTGGTAGCCAACGATCTTTAATATCATACTTGAATGTCTGATAAATATGCCAAACTCAACATGTTGAAAATTGAATTTCTGATCTTTCTTTCAAAACCAGCTTCACACACAGTCTTCCCCATCATAATTGATGAAAACGTCATCCATCTAGCTGCTCAACGCCAAAAAAAAAACCCCAAAACCTTATAATTATCTGTGGTAGGTAGAGAGGCGTACTGCTCATCCCCCTTCCAGGTAGGACTTGCTGCCTAGCTGTGGAAAATGAGGCCAGCAGGCATCCCCCAGCTGTCAGTTCCTTCAGAATCTGCCTTAGCTTCAAGGGGCTGCTCCCCACTCCCACTCCCTGGGGGTCATGCCCTTCCCAGGGCAGGGTGATCTGCTTCCGGTCTGAAAGTCACAAAAAGGTCTAGCTATTTCTGCCTGACAAGGTTCCCACAAGGGCAGTGCTCTCTCCAGAGATCCCTGCTGATTGGTCCAGGCTTTGTGAGTCTGGCTCACAGGTCCACTTCTTCCTCTGCTCTGTCCTACTCCCTCCCTCTTCTCTTCACACATGTTAATTCCTAATAACACCTCATATAGCAAACTCCATCCACTGTGTGCTTCTGGATAGCACCCAGCCTGCAACACCAGCCAGGACTCCTCCCTTGCTCTCAAATCCTACATTCATTCTGTCAAATCCAGCTGGCTCTACTTACAAAATTTAGCCTTGATATTCACTGATGCCACTCTAGTCCAAACTAAAATGTGAGGTGGAATGAGGTGGTACATTTAAACTGCAAAGTTGGAAGCTGTGTTACAACAATAGCCTCCTGCCTAGTTTTTCAGCTTCTCGCTTTGTTCCCCTTCAGTCTATGCTCCACATGCAGCCTTTTAAGACTCAAGTCTCATTGCGTCACACTTCTGCTTAAGACCTTACAATGGATCCCCTTTAACTTGGAGTAAAAGCCAGAATCCTAAAAAGCCTACATGGCCTGCTATAATCTGGCCCCACTGGGTCTCTGACCTCACCTCCTATCACTCATCCCCTCGCTCTCCCCACCCAGGTACCCTGGCTTCCATGCTGTCACTTAAACACTGGGGGCATGCCTTCAAGCTTTTGCTCTAAATCTCCATCTGCCCAATTCTCTAACTTCCTTCAAGCCTTTGATAACATCTCACTTTCCCAACATAATATTCTATACCATTTACTTATCTACAATGTTACTGATTTGGGACTTTGCCTATATTCCCCTGCTAGAATGTAAGCTTCACAAGGGCAGTGATCAATTATATCGCAAGCACAAAGAACAGTACCAATAATAAGTATTTGTGGAATGAATAAATCCCACATTTCATAAGTTGATGTATGTAAAATAAAGTCATCATTTCAATCTAATTAACAATCACAATTTAAATTCACTGACTTCCTTGACAAAGATGCAAAGGAATCAGAAGTCTAATACTCTAAACTCCAACACATGGATCTGAAAACCCACTTCTATTTATGTTGATATTGGGACATCAAATCACATTTTACCTTTCTCTCAGCTTACCTCCAGCTCATCAAGGGCACTTCCCAGAGTTGCTGCCTGGGGTTCTGGCGGGACCAGCATATTCTGGATGCCTTGAGAAGCATTTGAAATTACATTGAGGGCATTCTGAATTTCTTCACAAACAGTGTCCTTGCTGGCTTTGAGGGAAGCAACATCAGAATGTTCCAAACAAGCTGAACAAATTGAATGCAAGAGGGGGGAGTTCTCCTTCAAGGAGGCCCGGGCTCCTGCAATTTCATCCCTCTGATTTGGAGATTTTAAGTCCTGAGGAAGAAAATAAAAAGAGAGTTTCCTTACAATGGGTTATGGAGAAAGATTTACACAAAGAAGCTCCATTTTTCTGCCAATATAAATGAAAAGAAAGCAGACACTAAGAAGTCTGCTATAAGTTAAAACCAAGGGCATCCATTATTTGTACATTCCTTCAGATTCTGATAAAGTTCTCCAATAGGAAAGCTGAGCCAATTAGCAAATAAAGGTCACAATGGTGCAGATGAATAGCAACTGAGTAGATCTCACGTTTGTCAGTCATATCCTTATAAGGCAGAAAAATACTCTGGCATTCACATTATTAAGTGCATTATAAGAGAGCTTGAATTACAAGGATGTTGATTACCTATTTCCGTAGATGCTGATGATTGCATTTAACCTTTTCATTAAAACTAAACCAATTCAGTTAAGAACAGTAAATTGAACCTCCCACCATTCAGCTATTTTCCACTCTTTTTTAGAAATACTAATAAATTAACCCCAGATCTTTCTTTCTTTGACATTTATTCAACAAATAGTTATTAAGCACTTAGCATATGCTAGCCCTCATGCTGGCTGCTGGGTGTACAGACGTGAACAATCCTATGAGGACCTTGTTTTCCTGAAGCTTAATTCCTGTTTGAGGGGACAGGGGCCTAAAGACAAACAATAAACTCAGTAAACAAATACATAAGACAACGTCAGGTATTGATAAACGTGATGAAGAAAACACAAAAGTGAAATGTCATAGAGACTGACTTGAGAGGAGAAAGCTGCTTTAGCTTGGGGGGGTCAGAGAAGATATTTCTGCAAAGATGACATTTCCAGTAAATATAAATGAAATGCATTTCAAACAGGGGGAAGAGAGGGAAGAGAAAGCCCTGTATAAGTGATAGCTAATGAACACTAGCTCAAAATACAGTGAAAAATCCTGGCAAGCGCTACCTTAACCAAGTGGGGAAAGTTAACATCATCAGTGATGTCACATGGATATTGTGTACCCCTTGACATACTGTGACATGAAGAGCACTTCACGTCTCTGGTATTCTCTCCAGAAACCCACAATCTCAGTCTAATAATGAAAAAAACAACCACAAACAAAACCAGATTAAGGAACATCCTACGTGATCCCTGGGCAGTATTCCTCAAGACTGTTAAGGTCACGGAATAACAAGAAGACTGATTGAGAAACTGTCACAGACCAGAGGAGACTGGGGAGATATGACAACTAAATGCAATGTGGTACCCTGGGTTGGATGCTGGAACTGAAAGAAAACATTCAAGGAAAAATCAGTGAAGGCCAAATAAAGCCCAGAGTTTAGCTATTAGTGATGCATGAACGTTTGCCTGTTTTTTGTGGCAAATGTAAGATATTAACAGTAGAGGAAACCAGGAGAAAGGTAGATGGGAACGCTCTGTACTATCTCTGCAACTTTTCTGGAAATCTAAAATTGTTAATATAAATAAAATGTTTATTTTAAAGAAAACCAATTCAAGGGAACTAAACAATAGCTTATGCATCCCACATACAATATCTCATGTAATTCTTATAAAAACTCATGACAGATATTATTCCCCATTTTAAAGATGAGAAAACTGAGGCTTAGGGAGAATAAGTTCCTGAGCCAAGTAACAGAGCTAGACGGTGGCATTTGTTGTATTGTAATTCAAGTCAGTGTAACTGCTAAGCCATGATCCTGACAACTGTTATACTTTTTCCTGCACAGGAAGCCCTTATTTGCTTTCCCTTATTTGCTACTATACAAGGATGAGGACTTGTATCTGTGTAATGACTTATAGTTTATAAGGTGCTCCTAGATAGTATCTTATTGATCATCACAACACCCTTTGAAGCAGTAAGGTTGGTGTTATTAGCCCCATTTTAACTAAATAGGTGTTTAGTGTAGGGAGATTAAGAGGCTGGTAAAAGAACTGAGATCTGAACCTAAGTCTTCTGATTGCAGATCCCATGATTTTTTCACAAGACTCCGCTACCTCGGGATAATGGTGCCTGAGGTTAATAAATGGCTGTGCTACTGTATTTTTAGTTCCTTCCTTTCTGAAAATAAAGGCTGTCTGCTACTTCGTGAGAGCTTGCGGGGAGATTAACTTCTTTACGAGACGTAGGGAGGACAGTCAGAAGAAGCTGTCAACCCGTTGTTCATACTCACTAATTACCCAAGAAAAGCCACTTTGTGGTTTCTTGGCGTGCTATGATTTGCCCCTTATATTTCTAGTCTGGGTTCTAGTTTCAGCTCTGTCATTAGCACTACGAGCAGCGTAAGTCTTCTACTCTTTCAGTGTCTGTTTTTCCATCTGTAAAAATGGGGATAATGATACTTCTGCCAACCCTCTCATGAGATTGACTAAGCAATACATCAGAATTGGGGTATACTTGGAAAATAGTAGAGAATTATGGAAAGAGTACAGAACTACTTTCTTCCTTAAATTTATCAAACTTGGTGTACTGTTTTTGCCCCGTGATGGGCTTAGTGATTTTCATACTCCCCACAATTTTATAGCATGATCTGTATTTCTCTCAGTGTGACTTAGAGGATAAATAATTTAATGTTTGAAAGGATTCACAGCTCCTTAAAGGAATAACAATAAAAAGTATAAATATTCAGAAAAAGCTGAAGAAAATTCTCTGCATATTAGAGTATAATCTAAACTAATTATATAATTCCCTCTAAAGTGACTTACCCATTATACTTCTCTATTTAGAATGGCACAGTCAACATTTAGGTAGTCTCTGAAAGGTGAAAGTCTGCAAACACATATTATTACAAAAAAGGATAAAGTTAAAAATATTATTTCTTTTACTCTGATGGTGGCTGTGTATATCTGACTGTTAATTGCGGTAACTGTAATGCTGGAGGGACTTTGAAATTTAAAAAATTCTAACGTATTTTGGCTTTTTAGCCTATGCTTTGTTATCTCTGCCCAAGGCAATTACAGAATCCTTAATGAGCATGATTACACCAAAGAGCAAGCCGATAAAGCCTGTGAGAAAGGACAGATGCAGTGAACATAACAAAAATAACATATTATGGCAGCAGGTAGGGGAAAGAAAGGCAGGTTACAGAGTTTGGGTAAGGGAAATTGAGAGAGCAAGACCATTTCTCCTAAGGCACATCCCAAAAGATAAATTTAATGCAGTAAATAGGCACAAAGATAAAAGAAGTAATGAATGCCATCGTTCTAAACAAGGTTGTGGTGGTGTTTGTGGTTGCTTTATTTGGCTTTAGCCAATGATACCCTGGATTCAAAGGTTCGTAGGTTGTCTATTTCCTAAAATTTTAAACCAGGTCAAAACAGGAATTAAATGGTAGGGTCAATTAGGGATTTCTCTGGATGAAAAAGTACAAAGAATTCAGCTCCTCAGGGACTGATATTTATTTAATATCTTTTTAAAAATGTTCCAGAAGAAAAAGCTCACTTGAGATTTCCAAGTTAAGGAGACATTAAATGCTTCCAGCTGATGAAGAAACACACAGATGGCATTAAAAAAGAAGACCTCACCGTCTGTGCAAGTGGGTAGCGAAATAACATATGAGTTTTAACCCTGGCAAGAGAACAAAATATATTTAGAGATTTTAAAGATCACAAAGCATAAAAATGGAGGGCTCTAAGCTATAAGTTAATTAATTCAACCATTCATTCAACAAATATTATTGAGCCCTTACTATACATCAGGCAGTGTGCTAAATGTTAGGAATGCAAAGATAAAGAGCTTATAGGTCAGAAGGGGAAACAAATTTATATGGGAGTTAAAACAGAGTTATTCATAGCATAGGGGAAAGTCCTTCACTTGAAGGGACTGAAGATTTATCAGAGGAAGTGACTCTTAAATAGTAAGTAGAATTTATTCCTGTGAACAATGCAGAACAAAACAATAAGCAAAGCAAACAGCATGTGCAAAGGCCTAAGGCATAAGAGAGAGGGAAGCACGCAGGCCACTGCAGATGGCACTACGAGTACAGGGAACCTGAGCAGAAATGATGATGAATCCAGCCAGAAAGGTAAGCAGGAGATATTTCACATGCTATGCTAAAGAACTGTGAGAGCAACGAGCTCAGGTGTGCATTTTCAAAGATTGCTCTAGCAATGGTCTTTTGAGTAGATTAGAGAGAATAAAATTGCAGTCCAGGAGACCAGGCAATTAATCCAGGTGAGAGACAAGGAATGCCTGAACACTGAATGCTATTGCTAAGCTGTAGTAGGATGGATTCAGGAATACCTAGGAGGTAAAAATGGTGAGACTTTGTGATATTTAAGGGAGCGGGGAAGGTATATAGAAGCATCTAGAAAATTGCTTCCAGCAATTATGTACACAGTGATGAATTCACCAAGAGGGAGAATACAGAATGAATAATGTGTTGGGAAGAGAAAGGTAAAGTATATTTCGTTATCTGCCAAATGTGATATGCCACCAGAATATCCAAATGAAAATATACTATACATGGATCTAGAATTCAGAGTAGAGAGTGGGCTAGAAACAGAGATCTGTGAATCACCAGCTTAGAGCTGGGAGCTAAAGCCATGTGCATGAAGTTTACAGCGACTTCACCCAGGATGAATGTCACAATAAGGAGAACCGGGAGTCATCATAAATTGTTTCTTGAGGATGTAAACATGGTAATTTTATGTGCTAGCCCAAAAGGCCAAATATATATTGTAAATCACCAAGAAGGACATTGGAAAATACTGAACTCAAAAAAAACAAACAAGCAATCAAAAAACACATGCACACCCTAAAGTTTACAACCTGTGGATAATTACACTGGGTAATTATAGTCATCATGCTTTAAGAAAAGAGAATCAAAGAAATTTTTTTAAGCAATTTGAGAAAACAAGATAACTTCTGTATCAGGGAGTTAAAAATACGGGGTCTGTTCGCCTTGAAAATGGGAAATTTTTATTGGAGGACACATGATAAAAAAATCTAGAATTCATGAATGAATTTGACAAATTGTTAATGGACTACTTTACTAAATCAAGGAGTAATACATTGA